ATCCATCACGTATATAATACTCTGATATTAATTCAAAGCATTTTACAGTAGAAAAGGATTTACCAAGAGAAAATTTCACAAATGTAATTAACTAAACAGTAATTAATTACCAGAAATTGCATTGAAGTCTATGGAGACAAGCGATTTTTTTTTAAAATAAAAATTCAAATAATAAGAATATCAATAAATACTGTGGTGGAAAGATGCATCAAATCATTAGAAATAGAATGACAATAGATTTTTTTTTTTTTTTTTTTTTTTTTTTTCCGTATAGATTTTTTCAAAATGGGAATTATGTATAAATATACTGGGTATTCCACCAGTACACATCTGTTATGTATTCAAATTTATTGAATCTGAGACTATTAGGTATTAGGGATTGAATACCTTAAAGTCAACATTTCGCAAATTCTATGGTCGATACAATGACATTGTTTGCAAATACAAGCTATCGTTAAATCGAATGCTGACTGACTTTTTCATTTAAATTGTTGTCGCCCGCGTGGCGCAGTGGTTAGAGCGTCTGCTCTAGAGTCGCAAAGTAAGGAGTTGATCCTTACGTCGCGGGTTCGAATCCCACTGTGGGACGTGGAGACCGGTCCTTCGGATGAGACCGTATAAACCGAGGTCCCGTGTCGCAGTAGGTGCTGGCACGAAAAAGATCCCTCACTGCTCAATGGCCGTAAGTGCCGAGTATAGGACAAAATTTGCAGCTCTCCACCGGCAAGTGGTGGCGTCTCCATATGAGTGAAAAATTCTCGAGAGGGACGTTAAACAACATACAATCAATCATTCAAATTGTTAGGCCATTTTTTCACATTGATTTGTCTACAGATTTTTCCGTTTGCCTGATCATACAAGTGTGACCGGTCGACTGGGGATGCTTATTCGTCCATGGTACCTGATTCCACCTCTGAAGGTCCGTGTTTGCTCTGCCCCCAATCTGTATTGTTCTAGTGACTTTTGAGCTTGATTACTCTTTGTTATCTTCATATTACATTCATATAATTTAATTCTGGTTGTAACCCTGTATTTGATTGGATAAAAAAATTTACTTTATATAGTATAAAATGGGTTGCCTACGTCACAATGACTTGCGTCGAAAACGATCGATCCGCCTGACGTTACATTTAAATTTTGTACAAATTGAAGTCATTTTTTAAAGACAATCATCTTTTTTTCTTACACTAAATGAATGAAAATTAAATTATAAGGAATGAAATTAATAGCTACCCAATTTATACGGTATAAAGTGGGTTGGAACAGTTTACGCTTTTTTATAAACCGCTTCGCGGTTTATAAAGCGTAAACTGTCCCAACCCACTTTATACCGTATAAAATGGGTAGCTATTAAATTCATTCCTTAAATATTGCACAAATTTAGAGTTTATTAAATTAAAACCCATGTGGATACAGAGGGACTACAACTGAGAGCCAATTTTTAGAGGGTAATACATGGGTAAAAATCTCTTTCTCAAGGACAGCAGGGCCATGAACCATTAGTCATATAAATATATATCCATCTTCATAAGGTTTGTTTCAAATCATGGCCCCCGCAGCAATTTTTGTTCCCCCTTCAACGATACATGCTAAATACCAAAATTAATTGGTTGGAAATGTTTCAGTCATTCCAGAGATGTTCAAAAGTTTAAGACCGACGGACGACGCACGATTACGGATGAAAACAGTTATCAATTAGTCATCCGACACAGGTGGCCTTAAAATGCATGTACATAGCTGAATAACTATTACATTAATACGTATATTCATCCATTATTGATGCGTCCAAGCCCGCACCAATTGATCCCATAACTATTGAGAATTTATGCTCAAATAGTTCATCTATATTTATTTTTCAAAATTTGATCTTACTTTGTGTTGAACCAACTTCCTGTTTACTTATTTTTGCCATACATCATCTTCAATTTCTCTTTAAAGTATTCCCGCGCATTGATGTATTTAATATCTTCTTTTAGTAAGTTATATTAATTTTCAAAATTTCTTCTGATATTAATCAGTTTGAAATTTTATCAATAATTAGTGCGGATTTATGAAATATCAGCCTTTACCAAGAGAGGAATTACAGTTTCGTTTATAAATATTATCAACATCATCGAATTAATTGCATATTGTTCAAACTTGTACCTTGAAGTTAATTATTTTGGCAAGATTCATCTTAGACCGTAAGTGATTAGGGATTATAGGTCAGGCAGAACTGAAAACACTGTATACAGTACATAATACCTCAAAAAGCTGTAGCAAATAAAGCAGATAATTTCCTCGACAGTGTTTGCGACAACCAATTTTACACCACTACATAACTAACAACCATCGATTAAAAAAACAAAACAAAATTATAAACCAAATAAAAAAATAAAAACCCCAAAACAAAGCAAAAGAAAACAAACAAACAAAAAAAACCCACACACACACACAAAGAAGAAGCAGCTCAGATAGTACTCTGCAGAAATGCTGAAAAAGTTCGATCTTTCCGTAATTGTTTCGTGAATTCATCTATACTTTGATGATTGGTCAGGACCATTTGAATACTTATTCATTATTGATGGTTCCATCCCTAATTTTTTGAAGCTGTTAAATGAAATGTTCTCAGGTACAATGTTCCTTTGAAACCAAACCCTTTGAATATGAATTACCGTAAAGAATGTTTGAGTAGAATTAAAATACTAGTGAAGACAGTTTATCTTTCCAGTAAACAAACTTAGAAGTTTATGTCTGAAAACAATACATGTAGTTTCACATCGGAAAGTCATATTTAGTGCTAATATTCCTTAGATCCTAAGTAAGAAAGGTCATTGGTTCAAGCCCTGGCCGCTACACACCAAAGTCAATAAAAAATAGGAAGCAAGTATTCCTTCGCAAAGCGCTTGGTACTTTGAAGTAAAAGTTGCGGGTCTTTCGGATGGGACCTTAAAAACCGGGGCTACATGTCACGGTAGGCATTGGCACGATAAATATCCCTCACTGAAAACTTTTCGATTGGGATGTAAAAAAACATACTATCAATCAATCAATCCTTCCTAAGTATTATCTTTACTTACATTGTTAAATTGTTATTGAAAAAAAATGAAATAATCAGTAAAACATTCTCACAGAAACAGACGCAACAATTTAACAGGTATCTACCTTTAAAGTGTGAGCATTATTATTTCATGGTTCTTCAGCTGTAAGTGGGATGTAGAGGATCATCATCAGAAGGTGTCCGGAAAATTGTCTGATGAAAAGAAAAGAAAGATTGTTTTTGAGGTGTTGGTCTGCTGGAGTACATCTCTGATAGTTAATTACACGGTGGCAAGACACACATACATCACCCAGGGAAATCTAATTTACGGTGTACAGAAAGCTTGGTTACGTACGGCTCACTAATCTACAAAGCAAATTCAAGAAGATTCTCATTCAAAAGAAAATATTTCTAAGTTAGAGAATCTGCTGAATTTTAGTAAATATGTATAATACTTTGGATAACTTTGGAAATATATGATTATGATGGGAAATGTAGATAAAATAGTGATTAAAGATAAAGAATGGAACAGTAAAAAAAAAATCAGCCAGTAGGCAGTGAAAAAACTAATTTAACTTCTCCAAAAACGAAATTCATCGCTAGCGCTTCCAGTGTGGACAGAGTTGGTATCTAAATCTTTGGAAGCGAACCTCTGAAATTTTAAGCAGTCAGTCTAGGAAATGTGTGAAAATGAGTCCAGAGATTCAGAAAGAATTAAGAATTTTCTTGAAAAAAAAACCCCCACAGCGACACACTGTCAGATAAAACAGTAGATTAATTTAATTCCTTGTCAGTATTGGTTGATTTGGATAGAATAGAAGATCCAACGTAATTTATATAGAATAACTAGCATACATGTACATTTCAAAAAAGTTTTCCACTAGTGACTATTAAAATAACATGGATTAAATATTTATATACTATACAATGTACACTAATATATCAATAATATTATGTTACCATCTTAATTTGAACAAATTTACTAATTTATGACAGTATTATAAAAACGATCCCCATACTACACGAAGTAGAATAATTTGGGGTCCACTTAGCCAGGATGATGCCCAAATCAAATGTCTTGTTTCATATAAAATCTAAAGGTGCAACATTATTCTTTTTAAGAATACGACTTCAGTTAAATAAACATTTAAAAGTCCCTTGAACCTCTGGTCACATGACCTACCCTCACGTGTTGCCGTTTTGAAGTGGCCTTGATTTTAATGATGTAATATAATTACGTAATTGGATACAGAGAATATTAATAAACAAAAATTTCTATCTACTTTGAATATAACTTCTTAACTAAACTAAAAAAAATCATCTCTTTATTAAAAAAAATATAATTACCATATCAACGAGAGTTTGTCACGATTATCAAGGAAATTTCATGAAATTTGTGTCACAGAATACATTCCAAATGCACTCAGGTACATGGTTCCAAAGAACATGTAATCATTTATTGTCAAAACTTGTATTACGTTATGCAGTAAGAGATAATTTAAGTACATTGCATCGTTTTAAGAGGTAGTACCTATGGAGAAAACCATCGCCATATCTGACTAAAGGAGTCAGATGACAATATGTAGATGACAATCTGAATGTAGAGCTGGAGATAAAGACAAGAATTAGGATCATAGATCAGGCAGAATCTTCCCATCAGGAACTGTTAGGATGTATCCCCATGATAAACGACGAGAAACAGTCTTATCACTCCACCAAGTTTAATAAAATATTCCCTGTGATCTTATAACGATGTAGATGAATTCAAAATGAAGGATAAAATAGCAAAATAAAAACTTCTAGCTATTATTTAATTATTCATCTTCATTGCATCCTTTGTCTCTTTTTTAGATTAAGATTATAGTATTATAGAAAGATTCTTAAACCTGAGATCGATTGTGATTGATTTGGTGCGATATCCATAATAACATTATGAGCGTCTCTCTAACATTGATTAAAATTAATCTGGCCAGTACGAGAGAGTTTAAATGAAGACGAGGAACTGGTAATTACTGTCATTTGATTAAGGGAAACAACAAAAAAGGAACCCGGAAAGAAAACATCTTCACAAGGTTTGTCACTTAATGTCTTTAAGAAGGTTTTTTAATTGTTGGTGAAAGTTTGAGTGATCCCGAACAATATTTTAGTGTTGTTAATTTATTTAGGAATCGAAAGTATTAAATGTTAAAGTTAAACTTTCCTTTTAAATAATCAAGTAAACGATGGTTGAAATAGTATAAATACAAATAATAGCCAGAAGTTTTTATTTTGCTATTTTATTCTTCATTATGTGTGTCACTGATGAATTTTGCAAATATTGCAACTTATACTCAAAATCAATTACTTAGGGTTTTAATTGTTTGAATACCCAAATGATTAAGCCAACTGTTTATGCGATTTAGATTTACTACTAATGAAGTAAATGAAAATAAAATGTGTAAATGAATAAAAAAGAAAACTATCAATTGGAGACAGGAAATAGGAGATACATACGCCCAGTAATTTTTCACGATACTAAATACACAACAGGTGGAACGATTCTTACCGATTACTTGTTTATGGTGATTATTTCCTTTAGGGAATTATGATATGTAACGTGTTGCACTTCTTCACATTAATTTATGATTCTACAGCACGACGATCGACTTCCATGATTTCGTTCGAAAAAAAAAAAAAATAGAAAAGTAAATGCATTGTCTTCAGGCTATTATTCTCTTTAGTCTCTCAATTAAATACAAAAACAGTTAGCTGATGATTTGCAACTTTGATATAAGATATTTTAAGATCAGTGCATGTCCAATTGTAGTCCATGTGGATGAATAAAATTGTTCTGAGACGCTGTTTGTCTATTGCACTTATTATAGATAAGAACTCTCAACTAAAACTCAATAATAAGCGATGAACTTTAAAATAAACGAACCCACACTTTCTCTTAATATAAAAACCTAACAGGTTTGATCACTTCTCAAATATATAATAAAGCTAAGGATTCTATTGATACTACCAATTACACATCTTGATACATAGCTCCCAGTGGCAATTGTAATCACATTGGTTTATTATTATGATTTTGATTTTTTTTTTCTAGTGGTGTTTAAATTGTTCTCTTTAAGATTATAAATTCCAAACAAGTATGAAGCGTCTATTCGATATTCATACAATTTGAATATGATCTCGATTGGTCGTATAACAAACTCTCAGAGGTCGCTAAGAAAACTTTGTAACCCTCAATCTCTGAGGGATCTTTCAGTGTGCGCTTTTTGAGCACCTAGATTGCTCAGTGATCTCGACAGATAGCCATGAAATGTGGCAATATCCGCAATTTTTCATTTTTATCCTTTTCAATTTATTAAGACCTCCCTATAAAAATACACGAAGACGGATTTCCAATGTCTTTCAGATATTTACACACGTAGTGATCGTTGAGAGCCCTACAACATGTATGTATGGCACGCCAAATTCACAAAAATGAGCTAATCATAGTTTCACAGTTGATAAACTAGGTTTATCGATTGTTAACTATAGTTTACAGACCGTAAACTATAGTTAACGATGATAATCTATATTTCACATATGTAAACTATAGTTTACACGATAATCTATGTTTCACAAGCGTAAACTATAATTAACACGGAAAACAATCATTTGCTACTGCAAAGTATAGTTTATCTGATAAATATAGTTTCACGATTTGTAAACTATGATTTACAACTCTAAACTATACTTAACAAATGTAAATTATAGTTAAGGCTTTGTAAAGTATACTTTACAGACATACAAAGCGCCAAATTCACAAAAATGCGATAAACATAGTTTTACACTTGAGAAACACAGTTTAGGAACAGAATCGCTTATTTTGTATCGGAGATGCACAATTTTCTGTGAAACTAGATTTCACGACTCTAAACCATAGTTTACGATCAAAACCATAGTTAACAATAGTTTTTTTTTTTTTTTTTTGTAAATTATAGATCGGCTAATCCTAGTTACAGCATTATAAGATTTTGCTATGTTACGACAATTGTTGTTAAATATATATGCATGTATATTTCTTGTTGGCGTTGTATAAGTAAATGTTCTATTATTTTAAAGCAAATCTAGTTAGAAATAAAAAGAAAAATGACTGGAAAATTATTGATTAAAATTTTATTTTTTTGATTTAAAAGAGAAAAATAGAGACCGAAATGCGTGATCTGTCATTAATAAAATACATGTATATCTTAGATTCCTCTGTAAATAAAGACATAACACAGTACATGTAACATTGCAGGCGCGGAATTTATTTTTCAACAACCGAATTTTCTTCATACATAAATAAAAGTAGCCTTTCACGGAACAAACACAACAAATATTTGGGACTTCTCTCTCATTCTCTCTCTCTTAAATTCAAAGGAGGACGTTGAAACCCCCACAACCCTATCTATATCCGCCACTGCATTTCCTCTCTTTCAGTTTCTTTGTTTTGGTGATGAGATGTGGCGGGAAAATGCTTGGCACATTGTAAAACGCGCTTCACCCTCCTCTGCTTGAGCAAAAATCTCGTAATATTCTGTCTTTTAAAAAATTAAAATTTTATCATATTTCTAAAAATTTCCCCATGGGAAATGTATATATACACGACATTTTAAAACAAATACAATTAATCCTGTTTAAATAGAGAAAGTAATATTGATTATATATAACTCGATCTTTGCTTTAGATAATGCTCAACACGTGTCCTTAATATCCATTATTTGCTTCTCGCGATTGGTGCCGCGAAATTTCGAATTGAAAACTATCGTTAACAGGTGTTTAGATTCATAAACTATATTTAACAACTCTTAACTATAGTTTACGAGTGTGAATTATAGTTTATTACGATAAACTATGATTGGCAAATGTGAATCATAGTTTAGCTCTCAAAACTATAGTTTACGATCGATAAGTATAGTTTACGTCTGTTAAATATAGTTTGTGAGTATAAATGACAGTTAATTATAGTTTACAACCGAAATCTATGGTTAACGAATGTAAAACATAGTTTATCTGATAAATATAGTTTCACGATTTGTGAAACTATGATTAACAACTCTTAACTATAGTTCACGATTGTAAATTATAGTTTACAGATGTGAATCTATGTTTATCAACAAAATCTATTGTTAACGTTTAATTACAGACAGATAAACTTAGATTAGCATTCGTAAACTATAGTTAACAACCGTTAAATATAGTTTTACAGATGAAAACTATAGTTAACGAATCGTTAACTATAGTTCACGGTTTGTAAACTATAGTTTACAGTCGATAAACCTAGTTTATCAACTGTGAAACTAAGTTTCGCTAATTTTTGTGAAATTGGCGTGCCATATGTATGGGCAAAGCAAAACTTGTCCGATCTCTTTAAGCCTCTGAAAGATCATCAGAAAAAAACAAAACAATCGTTGAGCGGTCTTTCTGCGCTCTTAGTGTGTTCTTTGAGTGACTGATTTGAGAGATTACCGTTGACTGTTGAGTGACTGTTTTTGGTAGATTCAATGCGTTGAAGTGACCATGGAGACCGTGAAAACCCCTGGGAGATCCTGAGAAATCCTGGAGATTGGTGACCGAGCGTTGAAAGCTCGTTGGGAGATCTGGCTAATTTTGCAACGCTCAAGAATCTCTCAAGGGTCGCTCAACACCTATGTGCTTTAAAAGGTTTTAGAGATCGGACAAGTTTTACATCGCCAAAAGATATAACAATGATCACCTTGTTTGTAAAGGGGTTCTTGTGTTCATTAACACAAGTAAAGAAGCGACACTTACCACGTTGGATTTTAGGGATCATTCGAATTTGAATTCTTTTTCCTCGCTATTATTTTTCGGCGAGTCCTAGTTCCGAAATTGATTAAATTCAGTTGCATTAAGTTCAACATTTACATCGTCAACTGTCCTTATTTATATATCAATATTCCGCTATCTCTTGCATATGGTGGTTATGTCTCCCAACTTTTTCGATACTCAAGAGCATGCTTCGAGTACGATCAAACCAAGACAGGCTTCTGACAGATAAGTTGATGTTTCAGGGGTTCCAACAACATCGCTTAAAGTCAACATTTCGTAAACTGATGGTCTTTATAATGACATTGTTAGCAAATATAACCTACCATTAGTCGTATTTTGGCTGACGTGTTTCATACCAATTGTTAGACCTTCGTATTTATACTGAATTTGACTACGGAATGTTCCTTCTACCTGACCAATACACATGGCTCACGGCGGATGTGGCCGGTCAGCGGGGGATGTTTACTCCTCCTAAGCACCTGACCCAACCTCTGGAATTTCCTGGGGTCTTTGTTTCATGCCCTCTTCACAAAATTTTATTGTTTATAGATTTTTTTTTTTTTTTAGATCTATCACTTTTCGTTATCTTCACCCTTTTCATTAAGTCTGGCTCGGATTTGGTCCAGTAACGTAATCGTTAAATGACTGATTAATCAATGTTAAAGATGTAGTTTCTGTTAAAGTACAAAACTGTACCCTATATATATATATTTTTCTCTGAAACAGGATGTTGTGTTTCTTTTGCGTGTCAGTACATATAACTTTGATCTACCATTGTATGCACTGGATTTTTTGCAGAATTGTCACACATAATGGCAATTCTTTGTCCATTACACTTGTGGCCCCAAGACTTCTAAGTACTGGATACATTTAAAAATGAAAACACAGTCGTCATAACTTAATTGTATGATCTCCCGAACCAAAATTCCAAGGAAAAAGGCCTTCTTTACAATACCTCTCTCTCCTGTGGTGGCGAAGGCTCTGTATACAAGTCGAGCTTTTTTTTTTTTACAAAACAAATTCAAAGCATTTTAGTCTCCAAATCAGGATGGAATCATAAACATTGCTACACGAGTCTCAAGTGATATGCCTTGGTTCAATGAGTGGCACCCCTGCGTTAGGATCCAGTGACTGATATAGGTACCACTTACATTATCAAACTGTAATAAAGATCAAAATATTACTAATATTCCTACACATATATGTGCCCATACTATATGGTTACTATACGTCTCCTTCGCCAGCCTCCAATGATGAAACTTTTCAATGA